TGTGTGTGTGTGTGTGTGTGTGTGTGTGTGTGTGTGTGTCAAAAACAAAATTTGTCAATATTTTTTTTTTGGTATCATTATGAAAGATAAAAGGAAAAAATATACTAGAACCGGGATGACATAGAATCAACCCCCAAAGCAAATAAAATAAAATTTGGAGGACTCCTTCATGAAACAATCGAGTTCAAATGTTGGACATCCCACCTTGCTAGAGAACGGGCCATATTATTGATTTCGCGAGGGATACAAACAAACTCCACCTCCCAAGCTCGGGAACACTGATCCGCCAACCTCTTAATAATATCATAGTATTTATGTCTAAGTTGAGCCCCTCGCCCTGCACACATAGCTATTTTGATAACACCTAGACAATCGGATTCGCAAATAACCTTCTTACACCCCTCCTTCCAACAAAGCTCAAGGCCTTCGACAACTGCTAGTAGTTCCGCCCGGAAGGGGTCACCGCCCTAGAGGCCAACTGCAAACCCAAGTTTCCATTCCCCTACTGAATTCTGCACAACACCACCAGCCCCCATAGCATTATGTTAGGGGACAAAATTGCCATCCACATTAAGCTTAACCCAAGATGGTTCTAGGGGACTCCATTGAACGTTTACCTGCCACAATTTACGTTTGACAAGATAAATCTGGTTTTGCACCCGAGCTTCTTCAATCTAATGATACAAGTAAGACAGGGACTACTTATTACCGAGAAACGTCATGTTATTCCGAAACCTCCAAAGCCACCAAAGTAGATTAGCTAACACAACCACTTGAGGATGTAGTATGATTGATCGCAGCCAAGCTACACACTCCATCTCGGCAAAGGAAATTTGGGACGCGAGCCCAAAATCAAACCACATTTGACGATAGTGTGGACAATCTCGAAGGGTATGGATGATGGACTCTAGACTACAGGAACAACGCGCACAAGCACTAGAGGGAGCCAAATGGTGCCTATAGCGAGCATGGTTGGTAGGCAAAGCCCCATGCAGCCCTTGCTAGAGGAAAAAGCTAATCTTAACTTGCACCTCCAACCTCCAAACTTTTCGCCAAATCGCATCAAGAGTCGAATGAGAGGCATGCTCCAAAAATTTGACTCCGGATGACAATATGTAACAACCTGAGGCTTCACCTATCCAAGCAAAAGTATCTCTGCCACTCTGAACCAACGGAACTTGCACCTGTTGAACCCTTGTCGTAATTTTTGAGGGAAGTACCATACTCAATGTGTCAAACTTCCATCTCCCTTGTTCCCAAAAAATGGCCACATTTCTATCTGAATGAGAAATATGTACGAATTGAACCAGGCGACCCAAGGCTCCCACTCCCAGCCAATCATCAAACCACATGGAGGATTGCCCATCTGCCAGACAGGGCCGGAATCCCTCCCACAACTTCCCCACTGCTTTCACAATGCTAAGCCACACTTGAGAACTTCCCCTCTGCTTAGTGGCATATAGAATTGACTGACCATTAAGATATTCTTGAGAGAGAAGGCGAACCCAGGGTTTGGTTGGATTTTCAACAAAATCCCACAACAACTTTCCTAATAATGCAGCCTCCAGAAACCTCCAGCTCACCCTATCGTAAGCTTTCTCTAAATAAAGTTTCAATACCAGCGAACCCACCCTTGAGTTATTTATGTGGGTGTGAGTTAATACTTCTTGAGAAATAATACATGATTGTCTCTTGTGCCCCGCCCAAGAATGAAGCTACCTTGAAAAGGGCCAATAAGATCACCCAAAAAAGGTCTAAGTCGAGCTACCAGGACCTTGGAGATAGTTTTCTAGGTCACATTACAAAGGCTAATAGGTCTAACTTCTTTCAGAGCTGTGGGGGCCTCTTACTACTAGAAAATTGCAAAATTGCGACCGAAATTTAAATAGCGACTGATTTAGCGACCGATTATGAAAAATCAAAATAGCGACCGATTTAGCGACCAAAATAAGTCGTCGCTAGAAAATCAGTCGCTATTTTGGTCGCTAAATAAGAAATTTTGATTTTTTTGCGACGAAATTAAATTCGGTCGCTATTTCAGATCGGAAGGGTGCTTCCGCATTCCGCTCATTCTTTCTGATACCCAACACATGTCTCCTTGTAGTTGGACTACAATGATTATATTTATATGGAAGCAACACAAAGATAACTCAGAGGAGGATATTGAGTTAAGAGTCATGTTGGGTGGCAATGTAGCTTGTTGCTACTTTTGTAGATATTTTTTAGTATTGCTCAACAACCTAGGTTTACACTTTTTTTTGGATTACTATATATATGTGTGTAGGATAAAATGTAATTCCATTAAGGAGCATCTATGAATTTTAGTTGATTTTATTCCTCTAGATATAATATTGCATGTATTTTCCAAGAAATAGTTTACAAGTTACCTTAAGTAGTTATATTATATTTTCCGTTGTGAGTAGTTGAGTTGTAAAATGTGATGACCTAATAGGTCATTACAATATGGGTAAGTTTGTTTAAACTATTTTCTTATAAGCACTTTTTTTTTCTTATCTATTTGTCTATTTTTTCTTTTAAAATAAGCATTTTTTTGGCCTTTTTTTAGAAGTAACTCCTATATATTTCTTGAAGAATTATTTTTTTAAAAGCACTTGTTTACAAATATTTTTTTTTTTAAGTTTAAACAAAAGAACCTATGATTATATGAATAATATGATATAAAATTAATAATTATTTAAATTTTCACAGCTAAAGAATTAATATTTATTTTGAAAGTAAATTTATTATTTTTGAAAAATAAATGCTACCAATACACTTCTTTTAGTATGTCTTTTTCTACTCATCAAGAATTATAAAATTATTAAATAAAATATAAAACTCACAAAATCATATAACTATCAATGAATTTCAATCAATAAAAATAGTTTTTAAAAAATATGTTAAGAGTGTATTTCAAATTTTTTTTTTTTTGAAAAAGTAACAATGCCACCAAATGTTCTTAGCATGAAATTTTTTATCAAGCGCTTACTATTAGTAGAAAACAATGAAATTAGGAGAGAAATTATTAAATAAGTTATGAGACTTTAAAAAAATTATTTTTTTTAATAATGTTTAACCGACCATAAAGATTTTTCAAAATATGTTAATAATTGTGTTTTTAACATATATTTATCTATTTAGAGAATTAATACTTCATTAGTTCATTTATTACAGTCAAAAGATGATAGTCAAATGGAAAGAAAACAGAAAAGAGTAGGTATAAATTTAACTCCTTTGAAAATAAAGAAAGATATTTTATGTCAATTTTATTTAAGATAAAACTATTTTATACAATAAATAAAATACCCCATTTATCTTGCATCTTATTTTTTATTAGTCAGTCAAAGAAATTAATATCATTTTATATACATATTTATTTTCTTTCCTATTAAATTGTTTTTGTTTTTTTTTTCTTTCCTAAACTAAACGCAACCGAAGAAGTAGAAGGGGTAGCGTATAAGAAGAACGAGGAAAGTAGGCAGCGAGCAGACACACGTGTGGAGTGAGGTGTGGAAGCGTGCGGGATTGTGGTCTGGGCTTAGGTGCGTGACGTTGGACTTGGACTGATACCTCTCTCGTTTCTTCATATCGCATCTCTCTCTCTTTTTCTCTTCTGATCTGCTTCTCTTCTTTTGACCCACCCTTCAATGCCTCTCACGCTCTTCAATCCATTCCCTTCTCTCCAATTCTTTTGAGTGCGATTCCCCCAATTCCCACGCCGCACCCAAACCCTACGCCGCAAAATGAAGTCCTCGCTCAGCATGTTGCGCAAAATCGCACTCCCCAAGAGCGTCTCCAAGGACAAGAAGGACTTCCACCCCGCCGTTAAGTTCCACGAACTCGCTCTCGCTGCCAAGGTTTCTTCTTCTCTGATTGCTCACGCGCCTTTTTCGATTATCCTGTTCCGTTAATCGATTGTTGCAGTTGTCAGCGTTGGGGGGGTGGGTGGGTTTGGTTTTGCTCTCGAGCTGACACGTGGATTGTGTGTGGAATTGCTTCTTTGGGTGCTGGCTTCGGGTGTCATGATTGGGGGTTTTGTGAAAAATGTTGAGCGATCTCGTGCGCGATTTTTTGTTTCTACATTAAGGGTTTCCTTTTTTGGTTTCGCAGGACATGCAAGATATGAGAGATTGCTATGATAGCTTGCTTTCTGCAGCTGCTGCTACACAAAACAGTGCTTATGGTAAACTTTAGTCTTTAATAGCTCGTGTGGTTCTCTTTTTTCTTTACTTATTTGTAATGTATTCGAAGCTTTTGAACTTGCTCTGCATTTTGTTATGCTATGTGCCTTTTTTCCTTGCATATGTCTCCAAATGTTGAGGTCACGAATTAAACGTGCATATATATATATATATATATATATATCATTTTCTTGTCATATATAATATAATGTCTCTAACAATTAAAGATGCATATTTACATTTCCAATTACCATAGTCCATGGCTTGCTGGTTTTCTGCACTGCACTATCGATAAAGTCCAGCATTGCCAAATAGGGAAATAGCTCATAATGTTGAACTTCCATACCTGCCTTGGGCATGTCCTTATATTCTTGTTGAAATTGTATGCTGTTGTGATTGCCTTTTAAGTATTGGGAAATAGCAGCACAGGGGTATTTGGAAATATCAAAGTCTCTGCTGTCTAGGGTATCGTAATTCTTATTGCCTCTACACCGTATTATCTTTTCTGATCATTAGGAAATTTTTTTTTGAACATGTCTTGTTAGTTTTTTTAGGTGAGTTTTACTGCCTTGAAAATTTTAGTCAGTAGCATAACCTTTATTGTGATATGTGTTCCAGAATTTGCTGAGTCGCTACAGGAAATGGGTACTTGTCTACTGGAGAAAACTGCCTTAAATGATGACGAAGAAAGTGGTGAGTGGGCAAACATTTCAGGACTGCACTATCGAAGTTACTTAGCCTCTTTGCTAGTTGATTTAAATAATGTAAATAGTTTCATCGCTACAGTTGTTATGAACTGTATGCAGGTAAAGTTTTGGGGATGCTTGGAAATGTGCAGCTTGAACTTCAGAAGCTTGTTGATAGCTATGTGAGCCTTTATTTGGGTGTAACCCTTTTTTACTTCTTTGCTTTTTCTTGAGCATTTTTCATTTATGATTTTTTATTTATTTATTATGGACTGTATCCTTTCTGTTCCTCAGCGATCACACATAGTACTGACAATAACCAATCCATCAGAGTCTCTTCTTAATGAACTAAGAACTGTTGAGGTATGTTTAATTATTCTTTTGTCAGATTCATTTATCTATATAATATACGCCCAGTGGGCTCTTCAGTGCACATGTTTGTCATCTCTCTGTTTTTTACTTCTTCCTCATTTAGTTCATTACACTTATTTTAGTTGTTACTAGATGATGGTTGCTAGAAAATGTGGCTTCCTACCAGTACAGAAACAGGATGCAATTAAAAGAAGATAATGTTTCAGGACTTAAGCAATGCTTGGCATTTATAATGCCTTTGTTTGGCTGGGGGGTGAATGATACTAAATTCTCATCATCTTACATTATAAGTTTATGGTCGGTTATCAAATATTGAAGATCTCCTCATCTGGTTAATGGGCATACTGTTAGACTCAAGTTTGAACCCACAAATTGGATATTATTCTTGATAGAAATTCATATCAAACCAGAATTGTAATGAACAAATACACGGGCCTAGGCCCTAACAGTGTCTTTCTCTCTCAAACACTCAATATAAACTACCCTCTGAATCAGAAACTTCCATGCTATATACATATAGAACATCACACAAATCCATAACTATCTAAGTTGCTGCCTAAGGATGCAAATACTACAGTAACACTAATGGTGCATTTGGATGAGAGGAAAGAAACTACAGAGAAGACAAAGTATGGATAATTATATATTTTCTTATGTTAGGGTGAAGAGAAAATAAAAGGGAAAAAGGAAAGAAAAGCAACTTTTAGAAACAAATAATTCAAAATTTTCTTCCCTTCCATTTTCTCAATATAATTTTTTTTCTCTTGCTTCATTTTCTTTCCTCTCAAACAGAGGATAACAAATCCACAACTGCCTAATTAGAGATTGCAAAACTTTCATATCACATACACATCTATTATATATGATGTTGAAATTATGTCATGATTTCTTCTTGTGATCTCTCCTTTCCTGTATAATAAATAATCCGGAATGAATCTCATGAGGTTTACACATGTACCCTCCTTGAAGTGCTTAACTTTTGAAATTGTTGCAATAACATTTTTTTCCCTATTTTAGATCTCCTGGATGATTGATTGTTACCTTCTAGCCCAAAGCCAGCATCATATTATACACAAATCCATTGGTTGGTTGCATGTAAATATGACTGTTTCTTGTTTTCATACTCATGCATCACAAATAACACATTTAAGCTATCTTCTCACATTCTGTTTGTGGATACAATGATGTTTTCAAAAGTTGTTAGGTTGTGCATGCTGCAAAATAGTGTTGCGGAAAAACTCTAAAAAAATGTCTCTGGTGCATTTTAGAGTTGCTATTGATAAAAGGATTTGCGTAAAGCTTTAGGTTCAAATAAAATATACATCTTCACATATTAGTAAGATGTTAGGATCCAAATGCTAGGTATGGGACTTGAGTCCCACAGTGGTAATATGGGATTCTAGTCAAGGGTTAAAGAGGCTTTGGGTTCTCCAAATACATTGGCTACTGGCTAGGTTTTGTGGTGTGGTTTACCCAAGATTATTTCCTTGTAGTAAATTTTTATTCTAGTGGGAATCATGAACTTGTTAAGCACATATTATAAAATAATTTGAAAACAGAGGAAACCCTCTGTACCTTAGATAAAGAATGTGATCATTGGACCTTAGTGAAATGGACGGGGTTTTATATCATTAATAACTTGTTTATGACAGTGTTCCAATAGTGAATTACAGCAAATGGTGAAAAGCCAACAATCCACTATATCATATAGAAAATAGCGATGATGCAAATAGTGGAAGTCTCATAGCAATTGTAACGAATCAATTATACATGTATAAAAAATTAAGTTGTATGCACATAAAAATAAGCTGCATAAAGATTGATATAATATTAACTCAAAAGTTCAACTGTTCAAGACAAATACTGATGAAAACATTAAGAAGTTAAACATCAAAGACAAAATATCTGCATCTTTTCCAATATAAGTATCATTCTCATTGTTGAACAGTGAGGCATATACTTCAATCTCTTCTCCTTCTGAGATATGTAGCACAGATTCAAACATGACACAAGCACAGACACCTGGATATGGCAACATAAATGTAGACACGACATATATAATACGAATAAAGTGGCAAAGTGAGATCCTCCTTAGCATTGTTCATGTTGGGCAAGTACCATCTCATAAACAGCATCTGCATCTACCTAAAATCCCCCCACATGTACCTCACCAAACCCTTCCACCCCATTCCTTTACCTCACCCTCCAAAGCTTTGCCATCGAGTTCCACTACCCATCCCTCGACAGCCACCACTCCCTCTCCACCCTCCTCTGTGTTCTCCTGGCCACCCTCCCTTGCCTCTTTCCCACTAACATTGCCCTCTATGTCGCCTTCTACCTTTGCCAATGTTGTCAAAAAACGGTTAAAGGTATGGTGGAACGGATTTTGTTTCATCTCCATTTGCCATCCATTATTTAGCGATTTATGGCAGCATCTGCCATATCCGCCTTGGTGCTCGCCATGACTATTGCGCCGTAAAGGCTTACGATGATGATGGTAGATATGGTGTTTTTTTAAAAAAAATCCTGTTTAGGGCTTCAATCCGGGCCCAAATACATAGAGTGCTTATATTTTCTTCGTTTGATCACATTTCTCTACAAACGTAGTTGCTCCAAGTCACGAAAGTTGCTACCCTAGGTTCCCTAAAGCTCCGTTCAAGTTTGACCACTGTCCTTTGGCGACCTTTGTCGTCGGTGACCTGAATTGTAGTGGTCTTGCACTCTGGCGGACAACTTTGGCAAACAACTCTGATGAACACTGCGACATTTTTTTTTCTACTTCATCTGCGTTCATCTGGTGATGTTGATTTTTTATGTGTTTTTCTCTTTTAATTCTTCCTTCAACAATTTTTCATTTGTGTTCATATATTTTTTTTGCATTCCTTTTTTTTTTCTATGTTCTATATTTGGGTTCCTATTTAGAGCTTTTGTTCTTCATCTTTTATTCTTTTATTTCTTCTTTTTCATCTATTGGGTCTGGTTTGAGTTCCTATTTTGTTTTCTAACATTAGGTTCCTATTCTTTTGATATTGTTGTTTTGATATTTAACTATTTAAGTTGATATTTTGTTTTTTTTTTTTGCTGTTTGTTATTTATATTTTGCTGTTTTGTTTTTTTTTTTGGTTTTTCTATATATATATATATATTACTTTTTGTTTGCCATGGCGTTTGCCATAGGCTACTATGGTGTTTGCCATATGTTTCTAAAGGATTCTTGCCTCATCGCCATAGACTGTTATCTATTATTGATAACCTTGGCCTCTATAGCCTTTGGTTACTCCAGACCAACCTCTTCCTCTTTGTCAATGCCATCCCCCAGGGTTGCCACCACCTCCTTGATGTCACCAGCAACGTTGAGGGATCTACGCATTGTGATCTCAACGACTCCAAGCTATACGCCATTGCAATTGTTGATCTCGCGTTTCTGAGTCATGCAATCTTTGTTGGTCTCCTTGTACTTCTTACCGACACACTCGAAGTGTTGGGCTGTGTTCGTGTTAGAGGTTGGGCGTTGTCCACAGCAGAGTGTCCGATGATTGAGCTGTGTCTGCACCGTGTCTGTGTTGGATCTGTTTGACACAATAACGCTGCTGTATGGAGGCCCGTCTTTGCCTCATAGCTTCTGACTCCTCAATATCAATGTCTTCTAGCTCTTTTAATTTTTCTAAGGTTGCATCTTCTTCAACTCCTGCAAATAACTTGCTGGAAATGAAAGGAGGAAGCAGGAGGTGACCAGATGCAGATGAAGTAAAGGAGTCTTTCCTTTTATGGACAGTGTAACGTGTATGAGAGAAGTTTGAGAGTTTTTATGAGTGGGGGGACTGGGACAATGGGACTGAGGAGGGAAACAGTCATGTGTAGTCCCACATCTTGGTCTGAACAGTGATGCCTGTTGAAACAGAAACACCCATCACAGCCATGATAGCTGTTTTTGCAGAAGCTGCACCACAATGGAGCTGTGGTAGAAGATTGGAGGACTGCCCACAACACCTTAGTGCTAGCGCTGCTATAGCACCTATTTAACAACACTGGTCTATGGACATAAAAATTTCTGGTAAGGCCAATATGTGGTGTTTCATTAAAACACATTTAAAGATAAAATATTAACCAACTCTTGTAATGTTGTTTATAAATTATCTTTATATCCTTGCCCAATGAACAAATTGTAGTTTTCCTTTAACTAACTATCCCAAAACTTTGAAGTGGGAGATGCCGACATATGAATAGTTTTATATCTAACTTGCCTCCCTACACTTTGGGCTTGAAGTGGGAATAAAGCACTACCCTGCCCTACCTTATGCTGAAATTTAGTTTTGTTTAGAAGAAGAATGGGGGCAACACAGATTAAACTCTAGATTATAAGAATTGCTTCTTTAAACATGTCAAGGACCATGTTTCCTAAAAACTTAAGTTGCTTGGTGATTGATCATGATTGGTTTTAAAATCAAATACCTCATCATGAAAGAGTCCTTTGAGATTGAAGTATGGACAATTTATTGACTCGCTGTATCTTGTGCTGAAATTCAATATTTATTTGGAAGAATGGGGCCAACAACGATTGAACTCTGGACCACTTGGTAATAGAGGTTTTGATACCATCTCATGGACCAAATCATCTATAAGTTTGAGTTGTTGGATGGTGGCTTGTGATTGGTTTTTTATATTTAACAATTGATTTATATTTTCAGCATTAAACCCTGCTGCTACTACCAACAAAAAGAAAGAAGAAAAGATAGCAATAGAAAAAGAATTTATTAGAAGTTCAACCTGAATTTTTATAGTTGGAGACTAGTTGGAGGATTGTTATTGGGATGGGCAAAAGTTTGGTTGCGAAATAAATGGTAGAGAAACGTATCTTAAATTTTAATGTTTCTGACTTTCTTCTAGGAAAATACAGTAATTCATGGATTTTATGCCTTTGAATTGATTAATGGATAATTTATTAGATGTACTTGTATGTAAGGTGTTTGAGGGTTGTCAATAATGGTGAAGACTGAAGCTAAACTGAGCAAGGTGTAGGAGAAATGTTGCCTAAGGCAGGGGTCAATAATTTGGAACTATAGTGACCTTGCTTCTGTATGAATTTATATTTCATATAGAATTGTCAATTATATTGTTATATCTCAAGTCCTATCTAATTCCTTCTCATGCAGGACATGAAGCGGCAATGTGATGAAAAAAGGTCTGTATTTATGCAACTGCTATTGTTTTTCTCATCATCTTGTGATGTTTTCTTAATCAGTTGTATTGCTTTCAGGGACGTTTATGAATATATGATTGCCCAACAGAAAGAGAAAGGAAAGTCAAAAAGTAGTAAAGGTGAAAGTATCACCTCACAGCAGTTGCAAGCAGCTCAAGATGAATATGAAGAGGAAGCAACACACTGTGCCTTTCGGTTAAAATCGCTGAAGCAAGGCCAGTCACGTAGTCTTCTAACACAAGCAGCACGTCACCATGCCGCTCAGGTTTCCTTAAACTATAACCTTTCTCATTCGAATCTTTTTATTTTCTTCAGCCTAGTCTTGATACATCTTTCTTCCTCTTGTTCTGCTTTAAATGTAGCTGAATTTCTTTCGGAAAGGACTTAAATCACTAGAAGCTGTTGAGCCGCATGTTAGGATGGTTGCCGAACGGCAACATATTGATTACCAATTCAGTGGCCTTGAGGATGATGCTGGTGAAAATAGTAATGATGAGGACGGGAATGATTTTGATGCCATTGAAGGTGGTGAGTTGAGTTTTGACTACAGATCAAATAAGCAAGGGCCATATATTGTTTCCACATCACCAAACTCAGCAGAGGTAGGAATTTTATATTACTCAACTTAAATGGTTTTTAAAGCTTGGGCGCGTATTGAATTTTTTTCTCAATGCTTATATGCTTTTTTATTTAAAATATTGCCAAAGCTTGTCACAGTTGTCATTGTATGCTTGCTTATGTCTGTAGTCTATACCTTGCTACAAATTAAAACATACTCTATCCTTTTATATAATCAGAATTATAAATTCATCTTATCATTATCATTTGCTATGTATTGCCAGGTGGAAGAATCAGGTCATTCATATGTTCGAGCTTCAACTGCAGAAACTGCAGAGGTACTATTCATTGCTACTTTTGATTTATCCCATTTTAAGCTTTGATTTAAATCTTAAATTGGCTGTGAAGAAAAATCTAGCAAATTAGCAACTCAATCTAGCCTAGAAGGAATAAGGATCAGAATCAAATTTAATTATGTGATATGTTACTAAACATTAATTCTTAACTGTTAGGATAAACACTGCAGGCATCGTATGAGATCTAATTTCAAGGATATAGGTTTTGCATTGTAACGATGACTGTTTTACTTCTCATTGTTGCCTTGATCTAACAGGCCATCAATTAACTTTGATTCTTTATCTTACCTTGGGTCATCCTCTAACACTTCTATTAACTTTTCTTCTGGCAGACAAGTTTAGACAAGAACCAAGGAGATTTTAAAGTTTCAAATAGAGATCATAGAGTTGGCAGTTATTCAGCTCCAATACTTGCAGAAAAGAAATTTGACCCAGCTGAAAAAGTTAGACAACTTATATCAGCATCTGCAGCAAAGTCTAATGCATATGTACTTCCTACACCTGTTAACATCAAAGAAACCAAAACTAGCACAGCCCCCCGCACCAGTGCAAGTGGATCTTTGCATAATTTGTGGCATTCTTCACCATTGGATGAAAAAAAGAGTGAGAAAGATGTTGATAATAAATTGTCAGAACCGACTATCCCTAGAGCTCACTCTGTTCTCAAAGAAAGTAACACTGATACTACATCCACCCAGTTGCCACGCCCTTCAGCAGAGGGACTCTCACCTCCGCAAGTTGATCTTTTCAATGCATCTGATAATAAGAAAATAAAAAGACAAGCTTATTCGGGTCCATTGACTAATAAACCATTATCAGTAAAACCTGTTTCTGGGGGTTTTGCACGTTTACCAGTGCCCCAGCCTTCATCTCCAAAAGCATCTCCTAATGCTTCACCTCCCCTTGTCTCTTCACCCAGGATAAGTGAGCTTCATGAACTTCCTAGACCTCCTGGTAGTCAATCTAGCAAGGTGGTGAAATCTCGAGTGGGTCATTCTGCTCCATTAGTATTAAAAAATCCACAGGTTGCTGTGACGAATAAATTTCCTTCAGTTGTATCCAGTGCAGCATCTCCACTTCCAACTCCACCTATAATTGTCTCTAGGAGTTTTTCTATACCCTCCAGTGGTCAGAGAGGTATTTCATTAAATGTTTCTAATACTAAGTATTTGGATACGCCCCAAGTTTCAAAGGTTGATAAAGCTGCATCACCTCCACTAACACCCATGTCCCAGAGAGCATCTAATATATCTGACCTGGCTTCTCACTCTAGTGAAATCCAAGGTACGATGCTTTTTGTAATAGTTCTTATTATTATAATAATATAATTTTTTTTTATAAATTTGTTATACTTTTCTGTCTTAATGTATAAACTTTTGCATAAATTTGGATATTCTTTCCAAATAGATAGATATTCTTTAAGATTGCTCTTTTTTTTTTTTTACTTTGATTTGACATAGTTTAATTACAGGCTTTCTGTAGACTTGAAGCATTCTTTGTCAATTATGTGGTCTGTGGCATGTGTTTGTGATCAGCATTTTCAATTGTTATCTCATTATGGTTTACCTTGTCAGCTTAATCTTGATGGGAAACAAATGTGAGTATGAGGTTTTTCAGTGGATGCAGGTGGGAGCTAAATCTCATGCTGAATTCTGCTGAATGATTCTTAGTTCAAGTGTTTTTATTCTATGCATGTGGGAGCTAAATCACTTGCATTGTGGAGTTATAGGGTTTTGCCCAACAAAAAGTTCAGGCAATTATATGTAAATATACTGTTTATGTATTGTTTAGCTTCTCATCTCAATTTGTATCTATTATTTTTACTTTAACTAGTGATGATGGGAACTAAACTCTACATGTTTGTGTCATTATAATGTGTTGTGTATATATTCGGATGAAAAATTTTGTTCACTTCCCCAAGTCCAACGTGACGACAATGAAAGAACTTTATCAACAGAATGAGATGCTTACCCCATTTATTTTTTCCCCCACGTTCCAGGTTCTCAAATTTTGAACTATTTTCTAATGTTTTAACGCTTGAATTTTCGCCTGTAAGAATTTTTTTTCCCTTAATTTGGGTATTATTGACTTTTGGATTATTATTAGAGAAATGCTTTTTATTTTTTGTCACAGCTATTTTTACAATTGCCTTTTTATCCGGATGCCCCTATTTGAGTGAGGCGGTTATTGAAGGTGTATGTAAATACATTAAGGTTTGATTAGTTATTCTTTAATGTTATTGATATGTGGGACGGCCATTAAAGGTGAGTTAGGAGGTAGGGGTGATCATTGGTTGGATACGGTCGATTTCAGGCTAAATAGTCCAAATTGATATAACTCAGAAGTTTTATTATACAGACCTGAACTCGATCGAATAACATATTGGTTTAGGCAGGTGTTGGTTTGAGTAGATGACTTTCTTGGATATACCTCCTCAAAATCCTATGTGATAGCCTCATCCAATCCTTTGGCTCCATGTAGGGCTCATCCACCTTGCCTTGCTTGGCATTGCCCCCCCATTCTGTCCCTCTTTTGACAATCGCCACCACGCCCTCTCCCTCGACATCAACGTCTACCCCCACTTCATCCTCTTCCTTGACAAGGCCTTCTTTGCTTGTGAAATCTCCCTCATGAACCCCTCTAGATCCACTCCCGCTCCTCTGAGAAGCCTTTCTACGCCATCCTCCATTGTGTTAACGACGGTTGCAACTAAATATGGAGCTTCATTAGGAGGTGCAGTTGTTGGTTTCAAAAGTAGAAAATGAATTAAAGGAGGGAATAAACTTACTGAGGTTTGAGTTACATTTGGGTCCAAATAAACTCAATTATACATTGTTATTCTAGGCCTGAATAAATAACATTGGTTTTCATTTTGTTTGGACGGTCAGGTTTGGGTATCGATATCGATGTATCCAAAAAAATTCAAATCGAGCCCAACCAAAATTATCCATGTTAAATTGTTATCTTATTCTACTTAAATTAGTAATTTGTTCGAACCCACCCATTTGTCTTTTCTTCTTTCAGTTTTTTCAGTTTCGGGTCGGGTATCGAGTTGTTGCTCACCCTTATTTGGAGGAATAAAAGGCAAATCAAGTCTATGGTCTAAGCCATCCAGGTGGTTTGGTTCCTATTTGTTAAAATAGGTATCTAGTGGCAGTTATTTGTTAGAAAGTGGATACAACATTGTAGAGTAATAAGTTCATTAATAGTTGGTTGTTTTTTGAGTGTTTGAAGGAGGAGAATTATGTTGGTGGAAACCTTGGCGTGTTGGTATGTTTAGTGTACTCAAAACTACATATAGTTTAGGTTTGTACTTTGATTATCAAAATTGAAACAGTTTAATCACTAGGATTGGAAACTAGTTATTCTAGAAGTGGTCAAAAACTAGATGAATCGGTTCAAAATCAGTCAAGAACTAGAAAATTAGGTTGAACTAGTCATTTTCAAAATAATGTTTTTTATTTTCTAAAATTATTTAAAATATTTTTATAAAAAGTAAATAAATACATTTAATAAAAGTTATAAATTTGAGTAAATTGAGTTATTTATTTATTTTAATAATTTTCTTATAAAGATATAATTTAGTCATTTATATTAATTTATAATTTTTATATTATGATATTATGATATTTTATATTATATTAATTTGAGATTTTTCTACTTCAAATGTAAAATTAATATATATATATATATATATATATATATGTTGTTATATTTTATTAAATTTTAAACTTAAATATCCTAATTAAATTTTTACATGCACTTCAAAAAATAAAAATGTATAAAATGATGTTTTATTTTAATTTTAGTATTATAAAATGATGATATTATGTTTAAGTAATATTATTTTATGTATTATTTAAATATTATTATAATTTTATTAATACTAGTTTGATTATGATTCAATCATGGTTAAATTATTGAACCTTAAACTAATATCTTGATTGGTCAGATGATTGGTCTAGTTGTAAAATCATTGATAATTAGTAAAATATATATCTTATTTAAATATTCAAATACCGAAGTTCAACAAAATGTTGGCTTGGAGAAGCAAATGAAGGCAAAATAGTGAAGAAATTGAGAAATACAATTATGATCTTAATGAACTATGATAGATTTTGGATTTTTATAGGGGTTTTCAGGAATTGGGAACATTAATTAATAGGGTTTGGTTGAAGGGGAGGGGAGAATATTTAAAAACTTTTTTTCTATTTGATTCAATTTTTAAGAAGGGATGAGAGTCTTTTTAACCTAATTTTAGCTCTCCTCCAATATTGGGAGATTTGGAGAAAAGAGGAAGGATCTTTAAAATGTTTTAATATAATATTCAAAATATCTTTATTTATGTTTTTGAATTTAAAATTATAATGATGGAAAAGTAAATTAATTTTTAAAATTTTCTCTATTCTTGTGAACCAGAAAAGAAAAGAATTATCTTTTTTCTTTTTAATCAAACAAAAATTTTAACTTCTTTGTTCCCTTTCCTTTCTCTTGATTAAAATCTTTTCTCTCCCTCCTATTGAACTAAACAAACCTTAAGAGACTGTCATGAAGCATAAAACTTCTATGGTCAAAGATTACCATGGAGTTTGAATCTCTATAGAACTGCAACATGATCATACTCATTTAATTTGAGGAAGATGCATTTAGGACATTTAAAGTTTATTTAAAAATATTTGAGGAAGTTTTAGTTTTCTTTAATAATAATATACTTATTTATAGTATAGATTGGTACAATCACTTGTTACATGTGAAGATAGTGCTAGATTTTGAGCAAACAATTAGCTAACGGAAAGAAATGAAGGTTTGAAAAATATTTTTAAGAAAATTCATATCTATCTTGGCCATGACAATTCTTTCAAAGGTGGTCTTGTAGGTAAGAAAATATTGAATGATATTCATTGACCTATCCTAAAGTAGTGGGGGTTCACTAGTTTTTGGGATTGACCGACACTAGAGAAAATTTGAGAAAGATTATGGGAAGTTGGGGCTCAACCACTTCAATGTTGAAGCTACTAAAGCATTTGAAATGTTAAACTAGCAGATAATGCTAACTCTAGTGAATTGTTTGAATTGCCCGTGATGCCGTATTGCACTTTGTGGCCTTTTAATTTAAAACAAAAATTGTTTGAATTCTCCAAGACTTTTGTCACGAAGTGTGATGCATCATGATGTTGTTGAGTGGGACAAATCTGAAGACTTTTGCTATATTTGATTTGTCTTTTATCTTTTTGGGCTACATTGATGGCAAAGTGTAAAACCCAACAATACCAAAACCATTAATATGGCCCAAAATAAAATGTTTAGCCTTAATTTGATCATAACCATTTGTTTAACATAGTAACATACTTTGGAAGCAAATTCAATTGTTACAGCTGAAATATTAACCTGGCCAGTCACCTTTTGTTATAATTGAGACAGGATGTTAGTCGGAATATATATAAGAAGAATCTAAATTCAAAGTATACTTAAATTTATTCTATTTAATAATTCGTGATTTACATCAAATTTTAACGATCCAATCATTAAATTAAAAGTTCTTATTATATAGATCAAATATAATTTTTTTAAAAATTTTAAAAACTATTTGATATTTCATTTCATCAATTCAAATTAATAGATACTCATAAAAGTATTTTATATGTTGATTTGAATTAATAAAATAAAATATCAAACAGTTTTCAAATTTTCAAAAAATTTGCAGACTTGATTTATATATTAAGAACTTTTAATTTAATGGTTCAATCATTGAAATTTAATGTAAAATATGAGTTATTGAGTAGAATAAGTCTAGATAGATTTATTCTTGGATTAAGTAGATCTTTCTTTTATATATATAATATCACACACATTTTTTACTATATCGACTTTACTAATAAAAAATAAGTTTAAGTAGTGTTAAATTGTTTACCCTTAATTTTCTCTTTTATGTTAAAAAGGAGAAATAAAATTAAACTGATAAGGTTGGTTTAGTGATGGAGTCAAGAAAGTTTACACATAGTCTTAAGTTTAAGGTTTGGCTTGGAGTTTAATATTTGATGTCATCATTATAATTTTGATGGTTTAAAAAAAGAAAAATAAAATTAAACACAATCTTAGAAATAATTTTTTCATGAAGAGAGAGAGAGAGAGAAGTTTTTGTTTTATCTATAAGATTTATAATGATAACACTAATGTTCAAATTTAAGACCCTATGCATTTTATCTCAATCTCCCGCCATTAAGTCAATCCTAGTGGTTCATATTTTTATAGAAGTTAATTATAGAGCTTAAAATTATTCCTATTTTTTTAATTTATACAATTTTGATCTCTAATTTTTAAAATTATGCAATTTTAATCTTATTTGTCAATTAACTATCTGTTGTTCATCAATTGACTACGTGACATTAATGTTAACATCCTTAACTATTTGTTGTTCATGCTTTGGAGTGCAAGAGGTGACATACTTAAAGATCCAAGAGGAGTGGGCTAGATATGGAAGATTGGGCCAGTCCAGGCCCAATAGGCCCTATGGGCTTAGAAGCCCAAACCAAGTTTCAACATGGGCCTATCTTGTTATTAACATCCTTATTATATTTTTGTTAACCTAGTTTGAATATATTTTGGTCTTGTATTTTGGACCATATAGAGTAGCATTTTAGGTTATAGGCTAGTTGGGCCTAGTTTTGGGCTTCATGGGCCTTTGGGCTTTTGGTACCCAATATTGGGCTCATTTTCATTCTTGTAATTTTTCCTTTCCATTGTATTTGTTTGACCATTGTATTTAGGTCATTAGATTAGGAATATACAAGAATTACTTAAATAGGTAAAATAGGTTAAACTAGGTTTAATTTGGAAGTCATTTAAGTTACATTTGAGTCACATGTTTAGCACCATGGGTGGCTGAACATGTGCCACTCAAATTAACCCTAAATAACTCTCAAATCAAACCTAAATGCATCTAGGCACCTAAATTTTCGGACTAGCACATGGGAGCCAAAATTTGAATTCA